TCCAGAGAGGTGCACTAGCCCCAAAACCCAGGCTACATCTGTAGGTACCACACTGGAGTATTATAAGCAAATCTAATCAATTCTGAGGAGATTTGGGGTGCTGAATGGTCTAGTAGATGATGAAACACAAATAAACGTTTAACTTGTAAGTCCATAATGGAGTAGAAAAGTTATCTGAAAGTCATGGGAGGAGACAGGGAGAGCTTGCAAATTTCATTTAGCCTTAAATACCATCACTGGAAAGGGATAGAATGTCACAAAATGAATCTGGGGTGGTTGTCAACATTGGGTTCACCAGAAGAGCTTTAAAACATTGATAATTAGATACCACATCCTGAGAGTCTACTTTTATTTGTATGCGGTGTTACTTGAGCACTGGGTTTTTTATGTTCTCCAGGTGATTCTGATGTGTAGCAAAGGCTGAAAACTACTGATCAATAAGGTAGACTCAAGATAAATAAATTGATAAGAGGCACAAGGAAACACATTTCACTTGTCAGGAAAGTGATTCATTTTGAGGGAGAACAGAGATAGAATGCTCGGGATTGCAGCAGAACTGGTGCCTAAAGAGTGTAGAAAGTAAGAGAATGCAGGACCTAGGATCATTCTCATAATTACATCGCTCTTGTCTCCAAACTCATAGCTCTTTTTTATTCTTTTGGAGATAAGATCTCTTTCTGTTGCCTAGGCTGAAGTACAGTGGTGAAATCATAGCTCACTGCAGCCTGGAACTCCTGGATTCAAGCTATTCTTCTGCCTCAGCTTCCCAAGTAACTGGACTACAGACATGTGTTACCATCCCCAGCTAATTTAAAAAATTTTTAACTTCTTGTACATATGGGGTCTTGCTATGTTGCCCAGGCTGGTATCCAACTCCTGGAGGTCATAGCTCTTTATATTTCCTTGGCAGTACATTTTCCTGACTATACATGTATTCCAGCAGAGCATTCTTATTAAACTTTTCAGATGTACGGACAATTTCACATCAACATTGGTTAACCACAGGCTAAAGAATTGGTGCCAGATCACTGACTCATACATCAAATCTATTGAGTGAATGTGTGAACTGGTGATTGGAAGTAATTCAGTTTTTATACCAGCCATGAACGTGCTTCCTACTTCACTGTTATTGTCTTTAAAAAATTAAGTTTACAAATTTAATTTAGTATGTTATATTACAATAACTATGTTATGTTACATTGCATTTTATTACATTATATATTATTTTCTCCTTCTGACTGGGGTTAGCTATTTCTCTCTGATCTCTTGGCCATTGAGGGAATCTTGCATCTTTGTGTCTTTGATTTCTGCATGTATTCTTGGTTAAATATGGTCTTTTAGAAGCCACTACATCTTTGATAGTTTTTCTAAACTTTGTTTCTAATTCAGAGGCAATATGTGTATTATCAAAATTTTCACCTGAAATGTTTATATCCTTCATCATCCATATTCCTATTTCTCCCTTTTTCAACTTTCTACAACCATAGTCTCACTCTCATTTAAAACATTTTTCCCTCTCTGACATGGAGTGGGGATTCATGGAGATGATTCTTTACTAGGAGTTCTTTTCTTCTAAGATTCACATTGCCAAAGCTAAACTTCAGTTATTTCTGATGACTCCAACCTAGATGAGACTTCAGAACACAGTTTACTTTCATCTCCATAGTGAAATTGGTAACCTTACTTCAAGAGAAGATCATAAAGCTAAAGTGTAATCTAGGTTCTGCAGAAATTGACTCTTAAGCTGTGGCACGTTATTCATTCCTTCTCTCTGGGTCCTGGTGTGTCTCTAAGAATAAAATATCTTATTCAGTATGCCATGTAGTATCTTGCTTATCCTTACAAAAAAACCTACAAGAAAAGTGTATTTTTATCCCGAGTTTACAGGTAGGAATACTGAGACTTAGAAAAATTAAATTACCTGCTCAAGGTTGCCCAAAGTAAACTCAATTCAAGTTCAAACTAAAGTCTTCTAGAATCCATTTGCAGAGCTTCAAAATACTGAATATGTGACATTAATTTTCTCATTTTCTCTTACAAGAAAAAGAATAATATTATTATATTCATGTTGCAAGTTAAAAATCAAATCAAACTAAACCAAACCAAAACCAAACAAAATAAAACTTTGGATCAGAATATAAATAAGTTGCACACATCACACATTTAGTAACTGGCTGAGTATGGATTTTGACCCAAGTCTGATTTATTTCAAAGTTTCTGCGCTTAATTTTTAAGCCATGCCATCTTTCACAAGATTGAGTAGTCTGAAATATTGCATGTTCTTAATCAAATGTGGGAGCTAAAAAAGTTGATATTATGTAGGTAGAGTATAGACTGATAGTTACCAGAGGGTGGGAAGGTATGTGTGTTAAGGGTAGGAGAGGCTGGTTAATAGCTGCAAACATACAGTTAGATAGTAGGAGTTAGTTCTAATGTTTAACAGCAGAGTAGAGTAACTATAGTTAACCAAAATGAATTATATTTTTCAAAGTAGCTAAAAGAGAGGAATTGACATGTTCCCAACACATAGAAGTAATAAGCACTCAAGGTGATAGATATCCTAAATACCTCAACTTAACCATTATACATTTTATGCATGTGACACAATATCACATGTATACTATAAATATGTACAAATGTGTATCCATAAAATATTCAAAACATTTTAAAAAAACTTAAAAAGATGGAGTAGTGTGAAATATTTTTTTTCCAAGTAACATTTAGGAATCTGGAACTCAGGAGAACAGGAGGAGAGAAGAGGGTATCTGTTATATTTTTATTTAGAATGACATAGATGACTCCAACTTTCTCACTTCCTGCCCTATCTCTTTTCTTCAGCTTTTCAGATTAGCCACTAAGGCAGAAGATCCAACAGGTGGGGGCTAACTTCAGTCTTTTTCAAATGGCAGGTGAAGAATGATTTCTGCTGTTGGTGGCATGGGCACTGAAAGCAACGAAAGTCTTGACCTCTTATCCGTCTTCCTGACTGGCATCCCAGGACTAGAGGCCCGACATGGTTGGCTCTCCATGCCTTTCTTCACCATGTACGTTGTGGCCATTGTAGGAAACATCTTAATTATAGCAGCAGTGCAGAAGAACCCTGCCCTCCATGAACCCATGTACCTATTTCTCTCCATGTTGGCTGTCACTGAGGTGGGCGTCTCTGTGTCTACACTGCCTACTGTTATGAGCATTCTTTGGTTTGATGCCCGCAGGGTTGATTTTGATGGCTGCCTGGCCCAGATGTTCTTCATTCACACTTTCTCCTGCATGGAGTCCGGGGTCCTACTGGCCATGAGCTATGACCGCTTTGTAGCCATCTACAACCCTCTGCGCTATACAGCCATCCTGACCCTGCCCTGTATTATTTGCATGGGTCTGGGCATTACACTGAAGAGTGTGGCACTCATGGCCCCACTTCCCATCCTTTTGAGGCAACTGCCCTATTGTCACACTAATGTCCTCTCACATTCCTACTGCCTTCACTCAGATCTGATCCAGCTGCCTTGTGCAGATACTAAACTCAACAGCATCCTGGGCTTGGCTATTGTTCTCGCAACTTTTGGGCTGGACTCATTGCTCATCGTGGTCTCTTATGTCTTGATTCTTTATACAGTGCGGGGCATTGCTTCTGGAGAGGGAAGGTGGAAGGCTCTCAACACATGCGTGTCACATATTTGTGCAGTGCTTATATACTACGTGCCCATGATTGGCGTGTCTGTGATGCATCGTGCTGCCAAGCATGCTTCACCCATCGTCCACACACTTATGTCTAGCATCTACCTTTTTGTGCCACCTGTGCTTAATCCCATCATCTATAGCGTTAAGACCCGGCCAATCCGACAGGGAATTCTCACCTTGTTCTCCTGCAAGAGGGAATTGCTCTGAATTACTCCAAAGAGTTATGAACTGTCATTAAATTCATAAACTCTGATAATGTTTCTGCTATTGGCAAAGCTCTATGCTAGAGGTTTTGAGGAGGGATAGGAATAAGGAATTTAAAGTGTTGCAACAGGCTTAAAACTCTGAAACACAAGAGTTAATCCTAACCCATTCCATCTCACATTTTATTTGTATATGTGTGTTTCTGTGTGCACACACTTATATGACTTTCTCTTCTAACAAGACATGGTGACTTTGGGGCAGAAATAATGGATTTTCCTTGTCTTTATTTTTTCAAAACTCCTAGCAAAAAAGCCTGACAACTAGTGAGTTAACGGTAAAAGCTTGAGACTTAATAAAATTTAAATTTAAATAAAGCAAAATTTCTATTTTTGTGGGTTAGGTAGGAACTCACCTAGTTAGGAACTAACCCATATGGGGTAGGAACTACTTAACCCATATCTTCCAATTAAAAAAATATTGTCCTAGGAACTCTCTTTGAGTAAGGTGAGCTTGCTTTCTGGTTTTCTCCAGATATTCATGGTTTACATCTGTTTTCCTTAGCATTATTATTAATGTTACTTTCTTTCACTCTCAAAAATATTCTTCGTCAAACAATAAATTGTTTAATTGTTGTTTACATTTACCTATGAAGCAAACTACCATTATGTAAGAAAACAGACTCTTCCCAAAACTTTCCATGCAATTGTCTCACACCCAGAATTTCTGTACCATGACACTCTGAGAATGAATGGCTGACAAGAAGACCTCAACTGAAGCATAAAGAAAAATATGAACAACCTCACAATGCCCAGGCTACAGATTCTAAGAGTCCCAGCAAAAGCAACAAATTCTTCTTTTGTACAATTCCAGGCTCTATTTTTAGATAAACATTTATTGGCAAATAAGTCTGACATCACTGTGCCTGGATATCCTTTTTCTATTTCCTCCTTTCCATTCATGTTTCTGCGGCTTTACCATGCACGTGGTGCTTATATTCTTATCTGTTCCCCATTCTGCCCCCTCCTCAGTCCCAGAAGCATGGGCCTAGTGTGTTCCCTCCCTTCTGCATCTGCCTATGTTTGCTTAGGCTTCTTGAAAACCTTGGTCAAACGGGAATGGCCATCTTCTCATCTCCTAAACACACAGGCCTTTGTATAAAGTGGATTTATAGAACTGTACTGATTGATCAGTGATTAGCGTCACTGATCATTCTCACTCACTTCAGGGCCTTCAATTACAATGAAAATATTGTCCTCACCACAAATTATTCTCCTTGACTCATCCAGTTTACAAGGGTTGTCTTTACGCTGTGACTTCTTTGAAATACTTAGTGTGTTTGTAATCACTGATGGGTTCTTCCGCTGCACAGACTAAAACCCTAGTATTGTAGTAAAGAGTTTATTGACACTAGATTAACCACACAGGAGATGGAGTTATTACTCAAATAAGTCTCCCCAAATGCTCAAAGGTTGGGGTTTTTCAAGGATAGTTTTGTGGGTGGGAGATTAGGGAATAGGTGCTGCTATTGATTGGTTGGGGGTGTGATAATAAAGGTGTAGAAAATGGTCCTCATGTGCTAAGTGTGGGGAACACTCCTGTGAGAGGCCCCCCTAATGTGTGGGCCTCACCAGACGGTGAGCTTGAGCCCAAACACAGTTTCCTGCTGGAGGCAGTCGAGCTATGGGAAAGAAGGAACTGAGAAATGACTGATGTTGCAAAAGTTTCTACTTCTGACTGCAATGACGCTTGCGCAAGCGTCGTGTGGTTTTATCAGACATTATGTCTCCACTAGGCCTCTGCATGACTTTGTTCTTCAAGAAGTTTAACCTTATCCGCATGACCGCCTTGAACCCTAGATAATGACTTTATGGCTTAGCTTGTGACTCTTAGGTATTGTTATTTACAAAAGTGTGTTTTGGTAAAAACAGATAAAGCATACCACCTGCCCACTTTTATGATCTTTGAATTTCATGCTTAAGATTGTTTTCGTGATCTTATATTTTGTAACTTTCCATTGTTGATTGTGTAAACACCTAAACACCTATGATCTTAAGGTATATATTGAGACCCTGGACAAAAATAAATTCGCTGTTCAGGCATTGCCTTTTCAGTCCTCCAGATCCCAGCTTTTCTGTCTCTCTTTAATTCTGCATACCCCCTCTTTCAGGCCGGGACCCTCTTGCTGGCCAAGACTCCCCGGCAGATCTTCCGTCGCCCAGAGCTAAGTCTGCTTCTCTGTGTGTTTTTTTGTTGTGGGGGGTGGGGGATGTGGATAGAGGACCAGCTGAGTCATGAGTCACAAGTCTGGATGGAATCAATCTGAAAAACATCTCAAAATACCAATCTTAAGCTCTATAGTAGTGATGTGAACTAAAGGACCAAATGGAGAAGTCACAAATCTTGTGACCTCTGGCCACATCACTTTGAAGCATTATGGGATTATAAAAACTGTACCTACATTTTAGCAGAATTCAGGCCCATCTCTTATTTCTAATCTTGTGGTCTTTCATTAGTCTGACAAAGGTAGTTTCAGCCTCTGTGCAAGGAGGTGATTAGTTTTGGGGAAGGACTATGATGGTCCTTGCTTCTAAGTTAAACTATAAACTACATCCTGCATATGGTTAGCTTGGCCTATGCCCATAAATGAGTGAAGATAGCCAGCCTGTGAGGCCAGAATCAAGATGGTGTCAGTCATGTTAGATTTCTCTCACTGTCATAATCTTTGCAAAGGTTGTTTCATATTTATAACAGTAATCATTCAATTTCTGTTTACGTACTTTCTAATATAAAAACTACAACATCTATAAGTATGGATCATTTCATGCTTCACTTTATTCATTTCATGCTTCACCTCATAGATGTTGCATTTTCTACAAATGGAAGGTTTGTAATAACCCTGTGTTGAGCAAATCTATCTGCACCATCTTTCCAACAGGGTATGCTCATTTTGTTAGCATTTTTAAACAATATTTTAAATTAAGGTATGTACATTTTTAGATATCATGCTATTAAACATTTAACAGACTATAGTATAGTGTAAACATAACTTTTAAATGTACTGGGAAATTTTAAAAACAAATCAAAACCACATTGAGGTATCATCTCATGCCAGTTAGAATGGTGATCATTAAAAAATCAGGAAACAACAGATGCTGGAGAGGATGTGGAGAAATAGGAACACTCCTACACTGTTGGTGGGAGTGTAAATTAGTTCAGCCATTGTGGAAGACAGTGTGACGATTCCTCAAGGATCTAGAAACAGATTACACTTGACCCAGCAATCCCATTACTGGATATATACCCAAAGTATTATAAATCATTCTATTATAAAGACATGTGCACATGTATGTTCCTTGCATCACTATGTACAATAGCAAATACCTGGAACCAACCCAAATGCCCATTTATGATAGACTGTTCAAAGAAAATATGGCACATATACTCCATGGAATACTACACAGCAATAAAAAATGATGAGTTCGTGTCCTTTGTAGGGACAAGAATGAACCTGGAAGCCATCATTCTCAGCAAACTGACACAAGAACAGAAAATCAAACACTGCATGTTCTCACTCATAGGTGGGTATTGAAAAATGAAAACACATGGACACAGAGAGGGGAGCATCACACACTGGGTTCTGTAGGGGGGAACTAGGGGAGGGACAGTGTATGGTGGGGAATTGGGGAGGGATAACATGGGGAGAAATGCCAGATATAGGTGGTGGGGAGGAAGGCAGCAAATCACATTGTCATGTATGTACCTATGCAACAATCTTACATGTTCTTCACGTGTACCCCAAAATCTAAAATGCAATAAAATATATATTAAAAAAAAGATATACCTCTATCCTGACCAACATCCAGGTAATGAAGATTGGTGTAGGGGTATTGACAAGGGCTGGTCTGTCCATTATGCCAATAGTTGTTCGCCTACACTGGTTTCCCTATTGCCGATCCCATGTGCTCTCCCATGCTTTCCGTCTATACCAAGATATCATCAAGCTAGTGTGTGCTGACATCACCTTCAATTGTCTCTACCCAGTTGTAGCTGTATTTGCAATGGTCTTGTTGGACTTTCTCATCATCTTTTTCTACTACATTTTGATTCTCAAGACTGTCATGGGCATTGCTTCTGGAGAAGAAAGGGTCAAGGCCCTCAACACATGTGTCTCTCATATCTGCTGCATCCTGGTCTTCTATGTCACCATAGTTGGTCTGACATTTATTCATAGGTTTGGAAAGCACATTCCTCATGTGGTTCACATCACAATGAGCTACATCCACTTCCTTTTCCCACCTTTTATGAACCTGGTTATCTATAGCATTAAAACTAAGCAGATTCAGAGTGGTGTACTTCACTTATTCTCCCTGTCTCACTCTAGAGCATGACTTTGTTTCACTAAGGAATAATTCAGGGAACTTGGACAGGATGACAACATTGCTGGCATAACTAGGGAAAGTCATTTCAGTGAGAACTAACCAATCCCTCACATTTCAGTGGAAATCAACCAATCCCTCTGCTACTTAGAACATTATTTTACCCTGCCCATCCATTGCGGATTTGTATGTGATATAAAATATGTACAACACTAAGCACATATCTCTGTGCTCAACTGATATTGTTTTCTCCAGGTAGTTTAACTCACACTATTTCATTAGCCTATGGCTGGCACCATATGTATACATACATACTTAAACACATACACACATATATGTACGCACATACTATTATGTATATTAGACATATAATTTACATATTTATAATTTAAATATATAAACCTGAGTGCCTTTACCTTTAGATGAGTGCTTTGGCTCCTCTGTAAATACCATGATTAAAATCCAGTTGTATATAATGGACAGCTTGCTGAACAACATAATCACCATAATGCAGCTAGTATAGTGTTGCAGCTATAATTGTGTATTTTTTAATTGCCTCATCATAAATTTGCACATCCTGAATAAAATATGAATGTTTCCCAAACTGTAAATTTCCCTGTATAAAAATTATATATTTATATATTAAATATATAATTGTGTGTTCATTTATGTGTGTGTATATATAATATATATGTGTGTGTATATATAGACCCAATTATATATGTAATTCTTGGATCTATGATTTGGGTCACCAGTATTTAAGTCAATACCCATTGCTCTTCATATGGTCTGCATATATTGGTCCTGACATACACGGGAATAAAGCATTCTTGACCTCAGACATACATCCAGTTTTCTTGCTCACATGGAGCTAGATGCTGTCTCTAGAAAATTGCACATTGTGAAGAAATGAGCTTTACTCTCACTTCTTCAGTGAGAGTAAACCATTTACCTCAATTCCAAATGGTGAGACTAGGGAAAGTATCTCTATGAGGAATTTGTTCAGTTAAAACTTTGCTTAATATTTATCAAATAATATTGATAGTAATTTAAAAACAGAGATATGATTTCTAATTCAGATGACCATTGTCTCGATGAGGTAATTCCAGTTACTACTGAACAGAGAGATGCATTTTCAGAAAGTAAAGTGGTATGAGAGGTCTGGCTTATGGGTACATCTTAGATAAGACTAGATGGGGTGTCTGGCGTGTGCAAAATAGCGGAGTTGAGGAACGCTTGGTCATATGTGGAGGGTGGGGAAGAAGGGAGAGGATGGAGGCAGTACTTGTAACTAAAAGATAAAATGGCCTTTTTTGGCTCCAAATATCTTTCAAAGTTGATTCTGTTCAGAGTGTAGGCATGAGGAGAAGGGGTGTGTGCTCCTATGGCCAGGTGAAGAGCCAGTATCCATGACTCAAATGACAAGTTTTAAATTAATTTTAAAATATATTCTTGTGACCAGAATACAGGGCATGAAATGCTTGGACTACACAAGGGGCCACCCCGTGACCAGTCAGCTAGATGGCCCTCATCTCTGGCCTCGGATACTAACACTGTAAGTGATCTATGGCTGCCCCGACTACTCACAGAAAGGTGGGGATTTTCCAGAATTCTTGGGATGTATAAATAACATGGAGAAAACAAAATTAAAATAATATCTTTACAATAGTTTGCAGGCTAGTAAATGACCTTTATCTGATTAGACCAAAATATTCTTTCTGTTTTACTCAACTTGGCTGTGTGTCTGTCTGTGTGTCTGGCTGTATTACGTGTGAAATTTGCCTTGCTCTTTTGTAGCTTCTTGACTGTGTGATTCAGGATGGTAAAGATAATTCTTTACCATCCTGAATAATTCTTATTCCTTACTGTATTACAGAACTTCTTGCATAGGCAATTTTTAACATAATATAATTTTATTAAAATGAATAAATACAATTTAAAGTTACCCACATCTTTTCTTATATCTGTTAGTTCTTCTGTCTGTTTGTTATTGTTCTCTGTATTGTCTTCCAAGACACTGGCAATTTATACTTCATTCTGTTCTTTCCCTCCTTGTGCCCTTGGGAATGAATTCAGGGGGATCTAAGCCACGTCAAAGAAAATCTTTCTTGATTTGCCCTTCAGGTCCAATCATCCTGAAGCCTGCCATAGCAGGCTAGTATAAAGATAATTAGGATAATCATATATTTCATAAATTCTATAAATGGACACTTAGGCTGACACCCCTGAAAGTTTCTCTCCTCCCATTCTCTTCTTGCTGAACAGAAGATATATGATGAAGAGACCAGATAAAAAGCCCAAGCGAAGTGAAAGACTGGGACTTTCAGTTTCCCTTTGTGGAGTCCTATGAAACAGAGCAGAGCTCTGGGCTCCCGATGGTCCCAGAAGGACATATCAACAGTAGGGTCAAGGACCTTGCCATTGCCCCTCGTGCTTCTCCCCTCCCCTCCCTGTCCAGCCCCTCCTGCCACCAGCCACATGGAGCACTAAGTTCCTCGCAGCTCCCTGGACCCACAACCCTGGCCAACATCAAGAGGGCATGTTTTCTCCAAGAACATCCGGAAGAGACTCAACTACACACAGAAAAAGGTCCTCCAGAAGCCGGAGAAGGCTGGTGAGACAAAAGACGAACAGTTTGAAAAATATGTCCAGAACTTCAGACCCTCTGCAAGAAGCAGAGGGTACCAGACTTGAGAGAAGTCCGAGGATGTTTAGCAGCAATCAAAGGCATTCAAGAGACCTTGATGAAGCTGATTCACTGCGTGACGTCTACCTGCTGGATTGGTCTGGGCAGGAAGATGTGAAAATTGTTGAGCAAATACACCAGCCGAGTGAAGCCAGCTGTCTCCCCCATCGGACTGTCGTGCCTTGGCCATCAGCATGTTCTTCACCACCTGGTTCTTTGTTTACAAGGTCACCTCTGTGAAGTACACTCATGATATCTATAAAGATCTCCTTATCTTCTTGGTGGCCTCACTCTTCACGGGCTTTGGAGTCCTCTTCCTGCTGCTCTGGGCTGGCATCTACATGTGAGTGCCCAAGGGTAACAACCAGGTGGCTTCACTGAATCCATGCTTTTGTAAATTACTTTTTTTGCTATTGCATAATAAGTGACATTTGTTATCTTTTGGGCCTTGGTGAGTTTGGGTGAATGCCAAGTCATAGCCTGTAGTGGAAGCCTTTTTTGGAACTAGCTGATATGTTCCTCTCCTTTTGAACTCAGAGAGCAATAACTGAAGATACCGTAATGCATTTTACTTCCTCTATCCCTAGCACAGAGGGCTTAATAGATTTCGTATTATACCTTCCAACTCCCAGGTGCCTTTCTTTATGAAGAATGCTGTGTTACAATCTTTTCTGCATTCCTGCTCCAGGTATGCAAGGTAATGGAAAAACCTCATACCACATGTTTTAAAATAGTCCCACTTTTGTGTACTGTTTTGTCACACATAATTCACCCCTACTTGCACCCTTCACTCCAGTTTGTGGTCAGACTATAAAGAACCTCCTGTTAGACACTGTGTTTTAAGGTGATATCAATTGCATAACATGCAATCTAGGACCACCTGTTAGTGTAGAAAGCAAGCAAATAAACAAAAGCATCTCTTCCTACTATGGTTTTGGCTATACTCTGGGTCTTTTCTCTGATAGCATTCGAACAATGCCACGATGGATCTCCTTGGTCTTAATACTGTAGATAATAGGATTGACAACAGGTGGGAAGAAAAGGTAGGCATTGGCCATCATGGCTTGCAGCAGAGGGGACACATGATGTCCAAGACGGTGCACTATAGACAAGCCAATCATAGGCACATAGTAAGCAAGCACAGCACAGATGTGTGAGCCACATGTGTTGAGTGCCTTCTTCCGCCCTTCTCCAGTGGCAATACCCAGTACAGTGTGGAGTATGAGCACATAGGAGATCACAATCAGCAATGAATCCAGCCCAAAAGTGGAGGTAACAATGAAAATTCCATAGATATTGTTAACAGAAATGTTCCCACAAGATAGATGGATAAGATTGGGGTGCAGACAATAGGAATGTGAGAGGGCATTCTGGCCACAGAAGGGCAGATGCTGTAAGAGAATGGGGAATGGAGCCATGAGCATGATGCTTTTCAGCCCAATAATAGCTCCTGAGCCGAAGACCCGGGGCAGTGTCAGGATAGCTGTATAGCGCAGTGGGTAGTGGATGGCCACAAAGCGGTCCAAAGACATGGCCAGCAGCACAGCTGACTCCATAATGGATAAAGAATGGATGGAGAACATCTGGAAAAGACATGCTTCAAAACTAATTTCAGTATTTCCAAAAAGGAATATGCCTAACACTGTAGGCAGGGTGGATGCAGAGACACCAACCTCAGACAGTGCCAACATGGCAAGAAAGAGGTACATGGGCTGATGTAGGGCAACATCTGTTCTGATGACGTGAAGAATGGTGCCATTCCCAAGGAAGATGATGATGTACAACAGGCAGAAGGGGACAGAGACCCAGAGGTGCTCTGCCTCCAGCCCTGGGATGCCAACCAAAATGAATGTCGTGGGTAAAAATCTCAAGGAGTTATTAGAAGTCTTCATGTTGACATATCATCCCCAGAGATCAGTGCCACCTTAAAAGTTAGAAAAAAATTAGTGAGATGACATCATTGTGAAGAAAGATAACTGGGCACTCAGGGAAGGGAAGAAAAAAGCAAAATCACAGATTTGTGTGGCCAAATTTCTTATTTCTAAAAACTGACAAATGACCACCATCAGGAAATTGTCAGCATGGAGAGTGCTACAGCTTCTATCGTAGGCAGATAGAAAACTAAGTTATAGAAAGTTATATTATGTTATTAGCAGAAAGAAAATTATGCCTCTGATCAGGTGCAGTGGTTCATGCCTGAAATCCCAGCACTTTGGGAGGCTGATGCAGGCAGATCGCTTGAGCCCAGGAGTTTGAGACCAGCTTAGGCAACATGGAAAAACTCTGTCTCTACTAAAAATTGCAAAAATTCTCCAGGCTTGGTGGG